GGGTTTCCAAAAAACCCCCCTTTTTGCAGGGAAAAGGTCCCCTCTGGGTGAAATTTAATTAAGGTCAATGAAAGTTTCATGGTAAAAAGTCCACTTTTTCAGAAAAAGAACCCCCCTTTTGAAATTTCTGGCTACGGGCCTGTGCTTTGCACACTTATTTCCTTCTCTATTTTTTCTGTGTAAAGAGTAATTGCGTATGTCTCCATCCTTTTTCTCATTGTTTGCGTTATTTTCTCCTTCCCTCTCTCTCTCTCGTAATTTTGTTAACCACAAAATATGTAGACTACGTTTGCGCAAATTTTGTATTATAATTAAGAATTTATATGATATAATTGTAAAGTGCATTGAAGATCATTTTAATGGAATGCAGTATAAAAAAATATAAATAATACTATTATTTACCGCTGTGACGCTATTTCTAGGATGGTTAGCCCAGCCGGGGTCGGCTTGTTCCTGCAGACCTATCCCGATGTTAGCGCCCAAACTTGAATTAATCAAGCCTGGGTCTGTTCCCACCACCCCTAAACCCAAGTGGGGCCAATTGGACGACTGGTTTTGTCGCAACAACCCTGACATCGGTAATAACCATTTTAGATTATATACTATATACTATATGAGTTTGTGTTTCAAAGTCATATTTTCTCTTGAAGCTTCTTATCTTTCCCACTTCAGAACTTAAAAACGATTCAACTTCTCAAATGAAAGTACCCAACTCCATGCAGTTTTTAAAAAAAGTCAGTTTAAGTGATTAACGTCTTTGTTACAAACGTTACACGGTCACATGCTCACATCTTACCCTAAAAGGAACAGTGTTAAATTAACTGACTTAAGTTTTTTTATGAGAATTGGGGCTGATGTCGATATTACTAAATATAAACAAGATATGGGTAATTGACAACGTGCGATAGCATATTGTTTTAAGTTGTAAAATAATTTGTTAACGATGATTAAAACGGTACGTAATCGTTTATGTAGGCTATTGCACTATTTTTTTCTCCGTTTTTAAGTCTCTACCGTTTTAATTCAATATCATTGATATTCTATAACGAGCAATGATGCTTTTTTAGTTATCAGAGGCTTTGTTGCAAGCTCTAAAAGACACGTCAAACTGGAGGCTGGAATTGGATACCCACTTCCGCTTCCGGGATCTAATCTTGAATATACTGTCCAAGTTCTCGACGTCTTTAAGGTAAATTGTACAATATGTGAGCATTCTCTAAGAAAATAATGATAACGTGTGTGTGGAGAATTACAAAATTAAACTGTATTTGTATATATAAATCGTTACAATTACAGTTAAATGAAAAACGAATGAAACGGTTATAAAAAACAGCTATGTTTAATGAAAGTTATGAAAAAAGGTGGGATTCATTTTATTTTACTTATTATTTTTTTTAGTGGCCTTTCATGTCATTCCATGTGAACTGTTTACTTTCATTCTTTTCCAGTTACTTATAACTCAAATTCATATCATTGTCCGTTTTTGTTTTGCGTTTAGGAGTCTGAGTTTGTCACAGCAGGTAAGAATGTTTCAGTCCACGTTAGCGTTGGCGGCCATTCGTGTGATTATAGCCTAAAGGTGAATAAGAAGTATCTATTAAGAGGTGAGTTGAAAGTCAGAGTTTATGATATCAGTGTGCAGCATAACTTTAATTTTCTAATACTGCAGAATGCACTTTACAGGAAAACACAAATGAGCTAGTAAGGGCGATTTTTCATTTGGTAATGCATAACTTTTGCCACTTACCAAACCAAGTCCAACGAATTTTCCCATTCGCGAAACATCTGATTCCTAAGGATTAGGTCGCGCTTGTTCACCAACTCATTAATTTTGTCTGGCATTATTTGGTATTAATTTTCATTTGTTTTCGCCTTTTATTCCAGGTGACGTAAAAATAGAAAAAGGCCAGCCCAAGATTTGGCTGCGCGGCTACTGCGACTACGGGAGGGAGTGGAGATTTCTTCCTCTTGGTATGGCCAGATACCTGAAAGAAGAGGGGTGCAAATAGCTTGGTGAAACAGCGGGTCAAGGCCACCGGATATGTTGCCATATAAGTTGGAATAACTTAACTGCAAGAAAAAAGGCGGGAAAAACGTAAAATCGGAAAACGTACTTTTGCCACAAAAAATTAAATCTGATACCATATTCTCTGATTGCAATCAAATGAATGACTGCAAAGTACAATCCCAACCATACTAGTACATTGTATATAAGCACACCAGGGTGCATTATCTTAGGCTGTATTCCCAGAACTTTTAGATCGATCTATCCCCGCGGGGAGTCTCACTAGGTTTCTGTCAGATAATCCGGCTTAAATGACCGTCCCGCCTACTACAAGCTGTAAGGGGGTAATTAACTTTCGTGTCCGCTCGGCTGACAGCTATTTAGCGTGAACCCCCAGGGAGTTAGGTCGATCTAAAGTAGATCGATCTAATCTCTGGAAATGGGGTCTTTGTTAGAATGAGAGATTATAGCAGCAGAGACTGGTTTATTTTCGGGAGAGTGGTCACCGATTTCTGGTAAAGCCTCAATCTCGTTACAGCTGTTAACAATACCCTATGTACCGTTGCACTATTACATTTCTGTGATTCGATTGCAACTCACATGAGTTACAAAAATGGCTTCGTGTTTATAAAACTTCCATTGGGTAACAAAAAATATATATGTAATGGAGAAGAAAAGTGTTATATATCACTCTTGGTGGTATAAATTGGAATATAAATTTAAGATTCGAAACTGGACTTGTACAAGTAGATCGTAATTTTCAAAACGGTTTGGGAGTATATATTTTGGTGAAATTGCAGGAATTTCCAGGAAAATTCATTATTTGCTGGATTTGTTTGCTTTAAAATGTTTAAAAACTAAGGTTTTTCCGTGTGATGCGCCTGCCGGTCGATACCGAAGGCTTCCATGCATAATCCAGCTTCTTAGTCAGGGAATCCTCCGCTAGGGGCGCTAGTTGAGGATCGTTGAATGGCACTGAGGCTCTCCTCACCCAAATGTCTAACCCGTTTCTGAAAAATAAAATTGCAGAAAATTATAAATGGCCATGGTGTTATTTTTTTTTCCAAAGCAGTTCTTGTTAATGCAGTTTAATGTCCTTTAATAATTATTATTGTCGAAAAATGATGACAATATCTTATTTAAATGATTGTAACATCCATTCTTTACATGCATATGCAAATAAATGTTTTGTTATTATTATCATTATTATTGTTGTTGTTGCTATTGTTGTTGCTACATAATGAGAACAGTACAAGATTCAGAGTATAAAATGTATAAAATTTGCTCAATTTAGATTCATTCAGAAGTTGAGAAGAGTGTAAAAAGCCCTCAGAGCATATCCTGACTTAAATAGGCCCTAATGCAAATGGCTCCAAATATTTTTTCAGACATTATACAAGCAATGAGGCATCTCTTACTTCTATCAATCAATTGAATGGCATTTTATACAAAAGTGATTCACTATTCATAAAAAATGAAACGTTTTACTTTCACCCGTGTATCGTATC